TGATTTTCAGTTATTAAAAAATATGAAGTAAATCATATCACATTCTTTTAGAAAGAAAAACGTAGTAGGGCATCAATCTGCGACCATGTTATAAACTATTTTTTTTACTTTTTAAATTTTTAAAATTTATTTTTTATTTCAAATTAATATGAGGGTACAAATTTTTAGATTACATTGTTCTCACTTCTGAGGTAAAGCTCCATTTGTAAAGTGCCTCACCCAGGGGGCATGTTATACACCCTCATAATGTGCACATTAGGTGAGAACCCACCTCACGCCCTTCCTCCTGCTGATCATCCTCCAGCCTCCCTCTACCCCCATACTAGATTATATTTGTGATAAACAACTTTCAAATGGGAGTAATCTCTGCTGTATATAACTAATACTTAGGCTCACTATAGGTGTCACATACAACTCCTGGGCCATTATTTCTATGCTGACTACACATTTCATTCAAGATTAAATTTCTCATCATATTGTAGGAGGCATCAACTCTGGCAGTATTATACCTTCTTTATTGCCACAGTGTAACCTGGATTTAGAACAGGTAGCAAACACTGTGCATTTGAGGTATGATGACTAGCCATGAGATGAAAGAAAGTAGATGAAGCTTGGATAAGAGACACTGAAATACATTTGTAAGAAGTACAGTCTAGTTACTGAAAAACAACAATCTAGAAACCCATATCCCCAAGACCATGAGAAAATAAGAAAAAATAAAATGTAATAGGGCAGCACCTGTGGCTCAAAGGAGTAAGGTGCCAGCCCCATTTGCCGGAAGTGGTGGGTTCAGACCCAGACCCAGCTCCAGCCAAAAACTGCAAAATAAATAAATAAATAAAAATAAAATAAAATAAAATAAAATGTAATGGAAAATGCAAACTGTACAGTAAAAATGGAACAAAAATCACCAATGTCACTGACCTAGGGACAGAGAACACAGCAATACTTTGTGGGATTGAGCCTTTTTTGTGTCACCAACCAAATTTTCCACTAACACTTGCCCATAACTAAGGGCACATGCAAGAAGGGAAGAAAACCAAGCAGGGATAATATAAAGACAGTGCCATCATGACCTTTTAAAAAGGCTGAGTCAGTTCTTTCATCTCAATCCCATCACTAGACTTGAATCTAGTACTCAGAGGATTTGATGACATCCACTGTGCTGCTGGACTTCTGGGTTCCCTGGCACCTCCCTAGCTGCACTCTCTACAGATTCCAAGGGATAGAGTGGGAAACACAAAATAAGATGGATTATACTATTTATTTTGAACCTAATAAATCCTAAAGTGAGAACAAGTGAAAGTATAAATAGAGAATTTGAGGATTTTCTTGTTTGTTTTTTGAAAGATAGGGTCTTGCTCTATTGCATGGAAGAGTAATGCAATGATGTCATCAAAGCTCACTGCAACCTCAAAGTGATCGTCTTGATCTCAGCCTTCCTCAAGTAATGGGGACTACAGGCACATGACACCATGCCCAAATAATTTTTCTATTTCTTGTAGACATGGGGTCTTGCTATATAGCTCAGTCTGGTCTTGATCTCCTGGCCTCAGGCAATCCTCCCATGTTGGTCTCCCAAATTGCTGGGATCACAGGCATGAACCATCATGCCTAGCCCCAAATTTGAGATTTTTAATGTAAAATATATATATATAATTATGTAGATTTTTTAATGTAAAAAATAATATAAAATTATGCTCATGGTACAATTTTAATATTTAGAATTATACTTTAACATGATCAAGATTAATAAACAAATATTTTCCATTTGTTAGAATTTCCTCCCTAATCTAACTTCTAAAAATCTATGTAAATGTATACAAATTTTTAAGAAAAATAGTCAAGAAAATTTAAAGAAAGGAAACCTATCAGTAAAACAAAAGCACAATAAAAAGGAGATACAGGAAAAATCAAAAAAGACTATTAAGTACCACAAGGAGTCCATTATTTATTTTAAAAAATAATGTTTTGTCAGAGTTCCTACAAGCTCCTACACTTTTAGATTGTGTAATGTAACTGACCCCTATAAAACTCTCATTGTTCATGCCACAGGCATGAACAAAAATCTATGGCTTATAATGAAAAATAAAAAAAACCCAATAGAAAAATGTAAATTACATAAGAAGAGGCAACCTACAAAAGCTGAAATGCAAATGCTCGGGAAATGCTCATAATCATTATGTACCCCAAGCTCAATGCCACCAGCAGTCAAACAACTGCCAATGTAAATGACATTGTATTTTTATTCATCATAATGACAAAAATTAAAATGACTAACAGTTAAGACTTGTGAGATTAGAGGAAAACAATCTTCCTGTAATTGTCAAAAATTCCAGGCAAATTCATTAATACAGAAGTGGTACATCTGCCAAATAAAGAAAATTTATTAACTAGATAGCCAAGAGAAATCAGAGTGTAAAGGTTTTATACTGACATTTACTCCAGCGTCATTCGTGATAGCAACATTCTGGAAGCAACACAAACATGCATGACAAAGGAGTATTTTAAAATTGTGCTTCAGTTCCTTATATATTCTGAGAATTAATCCCTGTTGAATGAAGAGCTTGCAAATATTTTCTCCCATTCTATAGGTTTTCTTTTCACTCCATAGATTGTTTCCTTTGCTGAGCAGAAGCTTTTTAGTTTCATATAATCCCATGTGTATATTTTTGCTTTTATTGTCTGTACTTTTGAGGTCATATTTATAAATTTTTTTCCCAGACCAATGTCCTGATACCTTCCCTCTATGTTTTCTTTGAGTAGCTTTTTTGCTTTGGGTCTTATACACAGATCTTTGATCCATTTTTTGTTGGTTTTTCAAAAGCAAAAACCAAAATATGATTAAAAGATGGATATAGGATCTAAATATACATTTCTCAGAAGAAGACATACAAATAGCCTACAAATACATGAAAAATGCTACACTAAACATCAAGGAAATGCAAATCAAAACCCCAATGAGATACATCTTTTTTTTTTTTTTTTTTAAAGAGACAAAATCTTACTTTGTTGCCCTTGGTAGAGTGCCGTGGTATCACAGCTCAGAGCAACCTCCAGCTCTTGGGCTTAGGTGATTCTCTTGCCTTCCTGAGCAGCTGGGACTACAGGCGCCTGCCACAACACCCCGCTATTTTTTTGTTGCCGTTTGGCCAGGGCTGCGTTTGAACCCACCACTCTCAGTATATGGGGCCAGTACCCTACTCAGTGAGCCACAGGCGCTGCCCACAGTGAGATACATCTTACCCCACTTAGAATGGCAATTAAAAAAAATAATAACAATTGTAGGGGGAGGATGAAGAGAAAAGGTGACTCTCACAGGCCGTTGGTGGGAATGTAACTAGTACAGCCCCTATGGAGAACAGTATGGAGGTTTCTCAAAATATTAAAAATAGAATTACTGTATGATGCACCAATCCCACTACTGTGAATTTGTCCAAAGTTAAAGAAATCAATATAGCTAAGAGACATCTGCACCTTCATGTTCATTGCAGCACTACTCACAATAGCCAAGATACGGAAAGAGCATAGGGGTCCAACAACAGAAAATAGATGAAGAAAATGTGATGTACATACACCACAGAGAAAAACCATGAAAGACAATGAAATACTGTCATGTGTAGCACTATGCTTGGAACTAGAAGACATTCCATTAAGTGAAATAAGCCAGCAACAGATAACTAAGCACTTCTACGTTCTCACTTACATATAGAAGCCAAAAAATGTTGTTCTTATAAAAGTAAAAAACAGAAGAGAGGATACTAGAGGCTGGAAAGTATAGAGGGAAGAGGAGAGAGGTATAGATTTCTTGAAACAACACTTAAATAAGAAGAATAAGGGCTGGTGTTCTATACCACTGTGGGATGACTCTAGTTAACAATATTATGTGATACAGCTGCAAGTAGTTGGAAGGAGGCTATTGAATGCTCTCAACACAAAGCAATAATAAATTCCCAAGGTGATAGATACTCTAATTACCCTGATTTCATTATTTCACATGTATGCCTTTACCAAAACTCCACCTGTACCCTATAAGGATAACTATATATACCCATAAAGATGCCAAATTAGAAAATTATGGTTTCTTTTTACTATAGAGTAATATGCAGTTATTAGAAAGACTAAGCTATATAGCCATGCATTTATTTTAAAGCCCATCCATAATCTATTTTAAGTGAAAAAATGTAATAATATATTATTTTAATAAAGAAAAATTAATAAACACACAAAATACTATGTGTGCATATGTACCTCTACAAATAATGGGAAAAGTACAGGAAAAAAAAAAAAACATGTCATGTTGTAAAAAGTGATACAGATAACAAATGGGAAGAAATGGAGATGAAAAATATTATTTCAAATAAAACCATAATATTCTATTAGTTCTCCAGGTCATGGAATGTAGTCATCTGATTTATAAAATCTAAGCACGTCATTAAGCTACATCTAAAGTAACTTTGGTCTCCTCTAACTTCCTAGTCTATGCCAAGATGGAGTTTCCTGTTCTAAGCTTGAAATTTGGAGCAATGTGTCAAGATGATTACTAGGTCAAATCTTAGAAAAACTTCGTTTTGATTACACGTAGCAAATTTCTAGTAAAAGAAATGAAAAGGACCAGTGGAAAGCAGAATCTGCTTATACGTACAAATGAGAAAATATGTGCTGTAAACAGCCAGAGCATGGCTTTAGCACAGATCACAATGAAGCTTTATACGGAAACCAGCTTCAAGATGGGATCCAAACTAACGCTGAGACCCCTCCCTACCGAGAACAGTGTTTCAATAGGATTCCAGAGATTCTCTTAGCAAACGTTTCTTCATGAAGAATAAAATAGGAAAATATTTTTATATTAAAACATGATTTTTAACAACCATGGTTCACTTCAATATTACTTCTCTTTACACAAAAAGTTTTAAATGCTCTAGTAGATACATTAGGCGTCCGCTCAAAAAATGTACATCAAGAACGCTAACCTTTGCCTTAAAAAGAGCTTTTCCTACCTTCACATTATCTGGATGCAGCCCCCCGGGGTGCTTGTCCATGTACTGACATAAATCAGTGTGCTGGAAGAATAAAGGGAAAATGTATTAATATCCCTCTGGCTATAACACGATAAATCAATATTTTTCTACTTCAAAGTCACCATTACCTTCTAAGCAAAGCAAAAACAAGACAAGTAGGTGGATTTTTCCGTGTATGCAGTTGTATGCTTTCCCCTCCCCATTTTTAACCACAAAGGACTCATTACTTATACCTCAAGACTCAGTTTTGTTTTAAACATATTGGTGTATTAATTTGTTAAGTGTCTAATCTCCTCTTCATTGAATATACATCCTTATACTTTCACTAAAAAAGACACAGACAATTAACCAATCCAATTACAATTTCAATTATCTTGTATTTTCCAAGTGTAAATGCAAGTTATGGTTATTTATTTCATATGAGATGAAAATACCATATAAATAGATTATGGTAGCAAAAGTAATCATCAGACTTATTTTTCATACCTATATTCATAAAACAAGTAATTTTTAGGTTTTCAGAACTCCTGCATATATTTATTAACTTGTAGTTTACAAGTTAATGAAAATACTTTCAATATGACAAATACAACCAGATACAAGTTAAAAAGAATATTCCTAGAAAATATCATACTGCTCTTATTCTTTGAAATATGCCAAGCTCAATTTGCCCACAATTGTATATTTTTTATAAATGCTTTTTCTATTTGTATTATAAACTATATAGAATTTTCAAAAAAATATGTACAGTTACCATTCACATTTTTCTTCTTTCATTGGAGTGTACTATAACACTTATAACACGAAAACAGTAATTCTGTGAAAGCTACTGAACATGAGCATTTGGGTCCCATCAACTTGAATGATTGAGGAATTACAACTTTCATAATACAGGAATTACATGTTTTATAATACATAAAGTCCATAAAGTTCATGGGCAATTTAAAATAGTTATCTTGCATATATATGCAAGGGCTTTGCTATAGTTCTTGTGACAATAGTTCAGATTCCATTTTTATGGCCTGCCAGGTAATAACTGCTCAAAACACAGAGTAGAGTATCACAAGAATGGAAGGAAAAGTATCCAATGTACACAGCCGTATTATGAAAGCTATAACCTAATTATAGCCTAAGAATATGGGGAGGAGGAAGGGAAGGAGAGGGGGAAGGGGTGGAGGGAGGGTGATTAGAGGGATCACTTCTATGGTTTATCTTACAAGGGTACAAGTGAATCTTTCTAAAAGTAGAATACAAACATCTTAACACAATAAGAAAATGACATAAAGGCTATGTTAACCAGTTTGATGAAAATATTTCAAATTGTATATGAAAACACCACACTGTACCCCATGATTGCATTAATATACACAGCTATCATTTAATAAAAAAAAAAAAAGAACGTAGGAACTGCCTCTTTTCCTTTTAAAAACTCATTTGTAAGTGCTGTAATTGGAGCGTATTTTCTGGGCAATTTGAATCTATACTCATGAATTGTAGTCCTCAAATGTGGCCCATATAAAGTATTTACTTATATGAAAAAAAAAAAAAGAAATTAGCCTTCCTTCCTTCATCATGTACTTCTTGAGCCCTTATTATGTTCCAGACACTACACATTAACAACACTTAAGTAAATGAAACAGATGCTCATGTAGGAGGAAAAATCAGATATGCAAGCAATTACAACTGTGTATTATTTTGAGAGTAGCACTGACCAATGTTCAAGGACGTAGGAAGGAGAACCTAACGTGGTCTAGCAGGGGTCCTCAAACTTTTTAAACAGGGGGCCCCGGATGAGTCAGCTGCTTAGCAGGACAGACAGCGGCGGCAAAAACACCCAGCGGGGCGGATAAATGTCCTAGGCGAACTGCATGTGGCCCATGGGCCGTAGTTTGAGGACGCCTGGTCTAGAGATTTGAGAAAGGCCTTTGGGATAAATTACTTCTAGGAAAGACATGAGTAGAGGATGAAGGAAGTCAGCCAGTTGAAGGTTAAAGGGGAAGAAAACAGGACATCAGAAATGCTCTTAAACAGGTTCTGAGACAAAATTGTCTTGATCTTGCACCATGCGCAGGTGATCAGCTTCTCAATCAAACTCCATGAGGGCAGAAAACTATGTTATACTTGAAAATTATTGTCTCTGTGGTCCAGACAAAATGTCAGACACAGAGAAAAGGAAACTAAATAAATACAGATGGAAACAGTTTTAAACACAGGCCGTGTGGTGGCTCACACCTGTAATCCTAACACTCTGGGAGGCCAAGGCAGGTGAATTTCTTGAGCTCAGGAGTTCAAGACCAGCCTGAGTAAGACAGAGATCCCCGTCTCTACTAAAAATAGAAAAACTAGCCAGGTGTTGTGGCAGACACCTGTAGTCCCAACTACTTGGGAGGCTGAGGCAAGAGGATTGTTCACACCCAAGATTTTGAGGTTGCTGTGAGCTATGATGTCACAGCACTCTACCCAGAGTGACAGAGTGAAACTCTGCCTTTAAAAAAAAAACTTTAGGAAAACAAAATAATTAAAGATGAGGCGATTTAAAAATATATTAACTTAGAGCATTGTAAACTAGAATACTAAATCGTGTTTAAACCAATACATTTGCTATCTAAATAAAACTCATTTACTAAATTTGATCACCAATTACTAAAGCATAAACTACTGAGTTCTAAAACATCAATTACTAAATTTGATTCTATAACAGATAGGAATTGAGAAACTATACCTAAAAAGGTACTAAATTCAGATAGTCTTAATGGAAAATTTTCCAAACCTTCAAGTAACATAGACAAATTACCCCAGAGCTCAGAAAAAAATAGGGTGCTTCTGACTCCTCCTTTAAGACTACAATGACAAACCAGGCAAAGGACAGAGGGAAGCAAACCAATTGCTTTATGAATGTAAAAATACTAAGAATTACGATAGTAGATACCAGAATTCAATAATGTATTAAAAAATAACATGTCAAGACCAAAGTAAGTTACTCTTAGAAATGAAGAAGTAGTTCAATGCAAGAATATCTACTAATGTGATCTTCTAAGCTTAAAAAATTAAGGAGGGGAATGGTGATCAGTACAAAAGAACTTTTATGATATTGCATATGACATTTTTATTAAATGATTATTTTGCATATATAAAGGCAAAGTTTCTGCTCTAATACAGCAAATGTTCTGTGAATTGTGTATGCTTATAATTATTTTAATCTTACCCCAGAAAAATGTATCGAAGCTTTTTGTTTAAAATGAAACAACAAAAACCATGAGGAAAGAAAAATACTACAAATAAAGGGAAAAATTCCTGATCTTTTAAGATACACATGATGACCTCCTGAATGCACGTCCAATTACAATAGCATCGCAAATTACAAGAAAGAGATCACCTTCAGAAATGGAAATATTCGGAAATGTAATAAAAATTTTTCCAAACCTTTGAAGTTTTTAAATCCATATTGCTCTAAATGTGGGCTATGAAAATGTGATATGTGTACTGCACACGTCACACCCACACGGCTGTCACCACCTGTGTATCCTTGAACAGGAAACATAACCTCTGTCCATCAGTATTATCTTCATTTGTGTGATGAGGATAATCTTAGTATACCTACTTCATGTAGTTACTTCAAAAACTAATGTAAATATCCTTAACGGTTCCAGACATTCCCCAGCACGTGGCAGATACTATTGAAGGGGATGATTCTGACACTGACAAAGATGATGACTTTCTGTGGTGTGCATAGGGGCATAAATGGGGAGGAATATTTGAAAGTATTACAACTAAACATGAGAATGATAAATATAGTCAGAAAGCTCGACCTTCTAGAAGCAGCATTTCCTCCTTACGTCTGTGTTCCTCCTGTCTGAATGCCCAGACATTCTCATGCCCACTCCACCACTCTCTCCACATAGCCATTCAAACTGTGTCTACCAAGTACTCCATTCACCTCAGATTGCACTGAGTGGTTAGGGGCAAAAACCTGGAGAATATTGTATGGAGGAAGGAACTAAGAGGTCAGACTTTGTACCCTAAATCCTTGTTTGACAAATTTCTACCTCCATTAGAAACTGTTTCTTTTCCTTCTCTTTTTACGCCTGGGACTGCATTAGCTGTGCCTACCGTACACATGTCATTACAATGCACCTCTTCTTTCTTTATAACTTCTGTCCTTATTTCTAGTCACTAGATTATGTTTTGATAGTCACTAATGATTTACATTGGTATGAAAATACAGAAGTAAATTTGATGCCAGAATGCACTTCTGTGTCATTCTATTTTTCAAAGTCATTCTAGATATAAAAATCCTGAACAGAAAGCCCCTATGACACATGACCAACAGATCACTCTCCCATGATGACACACTGATAATCTCAGTGCTACCTGGATTGATCTCTGGCTATTTCTTTTTCTAGTCAAAAAGAGCACCTGCAGACTAGATTCCTGGTCATTGTCTCAGAAAGAGTGTTCTCCTCCACCCTCTACCGTGGTCCTATGCTAACGGCTCCTCTTCCCCTCACTGTACTATGCCTCACCTCATCTTTTCACATTCCCCCTCTCATCTACTGCCGTGCTCAGGGATGATGCCATTAGAAACCCTTATTTTGACTTCAAGCTTACACCTGAATGCCTGGGAATAACACATCAACCTTCCATGAAGTGTGTGGGTTTAAAGGAAGCTGTCAAATGCGGCTAGCCTTACAGACAAAGCAGAAGATGGAGGGAGAGCAGAAATGGGCTCTGAAGGCTCAACTCTTACATCAGTAAATATCCCTTCCAAAATTAGGATCCTCTTTCCTCTCTGTTGATTATCCAACAGGTAGCATTTACTTGGCTATTTACGTAGGTGCAGGAATATTTGTAAGGGAAGGAATTTGAGGACAGTATCTGAAAGCATAACCCCCTGGAGGTGAAAGAAATGCTTTCTGTAAAAGAGTTTTCAAGGTTTAAAATTTGGATTTCACCACATTGATGCAATTTTTCTCTGACCGAATCAATTCAGAAGGCAAGAAAAACATATCTCTTTGTAAAAAGATAGGCCATGGAAAGACCAC